ATGTATATCCGAAAGCGCTGTGATAAAAAGAACAATTGGACAGATTTATATAATTTATCATCCGAAAAGAAAAAAATAAAATCATAGATCACATGAGAAATTGCATAAAAATTCATCAAAGCACCTTGTCTATCATATTCAATAAAATGTACATGAAAGAAGGATTGCTGCTTAAACACACACACACACACACACACACACACACACACACACACACACACACACACATATATATATATATATATATATATATATATATATATATATATATATATATATGAAAGAAATATGTTGTAGTGGTTCAAACGAAAGACAAGTATGTATATTAAAAAAAGAAGAGAAGAGAGGTGCCGCAAACGTTTTTGGTTGTAATGTGGATTTATTTAGAAAAAAAATATTATGCTTTGTTATGCATAATTTTACTACACGTGTTTCTGGTCTCGCGACCGTCTTCAGGTAAAAGCGGAGATTTCCACATATTATTAAAAATAATTATTTTTTCCTGTATGTTTGTCAATGTTAAATATTCTCGATATGAGACATTTTCTGTTTGTGTGTTGGTAATCCGAATTTCCTTCTCATCCCGTGTGGGTCGACGGGTATGTTCTACGAAGAGATTAAATAGGCTAACGCTTTCATTTTCTCCTTGACTTCCTGGTGAAGTGTAAAATTTTTCCGTAATATTGTCCTCACCAAAGACGAAGTACTGTGTCATCAGCGTATGTTATATTCTTAAGATTGTGGCCGCCAATGTTAAATCGCTATAGGGTTTACAATTCTCTCAGAAGCGCCTCGCTGTATAGCTTGAACAGGTCGGGTGAGAAGACGCATCCTTGTCTTACGCTCGTTTCTATTTTTGTACATCTGCTGAACTTATTCTCTATGCGCATGTATGCTATCTTGAACGCTATCTATTGCACTTCCGTTTTGTCTTGCTGTTTTGCTTCAAATCGATTTGGTTACTGCTGATTCCACTTCAGATTTTAATATGTATGGGCTTTCTATATTTCCGTGTCTTCCCGGTGGTTCCTTTCGTCGTGAAAAAATTTTCCTATGTAGTCTTTATATGTCCGAAGTATTTTTCCCCAATAGGAGTGTCGCATTCTTGGATTTTATTAGATAAAATTTAATCTTTTGTCTACAGGAATCCTATTTTTTTTAATTTTCCTCTCTGTTTCCTACATGCTTGTTTATTTATGGCTTTTAGTCTCTTTTGATGTGGTCATATTCTGATTGGATTCCGGCGAAAAACGGTATGCAGTTTTCTATAAGAGAGGTAAGCAAAATCTTAGAGTTGTTTGATGACATATAAGACATCGTTGCACTTCTTTCCAGAACAAGTAATAAACAGACAATCTATTTAATCCAATTTTGGAATTACTTCATGTCGTATGAATACTTAGCAATGCATTTAACATAAATATTTTACCAGTACCATGCGTCGCAATTCGTAACGTCCCCCAATCCTTTTTCTTGTTTTGAATATTTTCAAATAAAAAAAAAACACTTTAAATTCAATGCTATGGCAAATTAACTCTAATTTTTATTTCTAATCCATTGTCGAGTTTATTTACACTATTTTCACATTTCCACATTTTATTATCAACGCAAGTCTTTGGGAAACCGGGTGTTTCTTTTTTTTACACTTGGAAAAGAAAAAGCTATATTCACTTTGACACGTAAGATTTTGACATCGGTTTTGATAATCCATTCTGCCTGATATCACTTTCCTTTACCTGTGTAAATTTATAAAATGAGAAACTGTGCTATATTTTAGATCGCTTTCAGATTGGAGTATATAATCCTAGTTAAATTCCTTGTTTAAATAAATCGTTGAATCCAATAAAAAAGAATATGAAATATTATTGAGAGAGAAGAAGCACAAAAACAAATTGAATTTTAATCCTCAACTGAACCAACAATGGAGAAATAGAAATAGTAAAAAGAGATTATCTGGTTCAACCAATCTTTTAATTTCGAACTGAGAACGAATATAGGGAAATATATTTTAAACTATTTACAAAGTATTTCCTAAAACCTTTTGAATTACATAGAATTTTCAAAAATAAACACGCTACAATTAAGTTATTGCTGCACCAGACATGTGGATAACATCATAAAGCAGCACAATATAAGGCATTTCAAGATGAACAAACAACACCACCAACATCAGACGCTGCAATTGCAGGGATAAAGGCAGTTGTCCATTAGATGGTGACTATAATCCTGCGAGTGTGATCAATAAGGCAGAGATGGAAGATATCAGAGGGTAGAACAAAGACTTACGTGGAATCCACAGAAGATATCTTCAAGAAAAGATGGTATAACCATTGGTCTTCATTTAAAATGGAGAGTCATAGTCATTGTACAAACTAACCAGCCAAGTGTTAGAGCATTTTTAGAAGTCTAACATCTTGCAACTTTAATGGTAATATTTGTAAATAGTGCCAAGAGGAAAAGCTAACCATTATGACCTATCCGGACAGACAAGTTGTTGATCGAAGATTTATAATTGATTTTACAGTAATTTTTGCTCAAGGCCAAAGGGAAAGTGGGGAGGGCGGGTCGAAGCTATCATAAACCTAGCCTATCAGATTCACGACCTATTTACTCATTACAATATACTCATTCACCACAGAAACTCATCAATCACTATCCAGTCTTACACGTACCACAAGACAACATATTCACAGGGAATCTACAAAACAACTCCATGATCTAAAAATGTCTTTATGTACAAATGTTCAATGTCTCTTTTTGTTGCCATTTTTCATTTTTTGTTATCAAAAATATATTTTTTTTAAAAAATCACGAATCATGAAATAAGGGTGGAGAAGATGAACCCCAAAACAAAAATAAAATAAAACAAAACATTCAAACTAAAACATAACATATGTTAGTAGGACCCGTCCATCCTTCAAAAATAATAGGAGCGGCCGCTGTGTTCCGCCTACAGCTACAGATAGAATCAAGAAGCAAACTCATTATGGTGTGGGAAGGGAAAATAAACGCCGGAGTGGGAAAATAAAAGTCTGACTCAGCCGATATAAAAAAATGGTGGCAAAAACAAACTGGGGAGTTTGGGAATCTCGACATGAATCATAACAAAAGAGAAGGCCGGTGTCAGGCCGGTAACAACACTTATTTTTATTAAGTAAATAAACAAATACTGTCTAGCATAACCAGGGCAGGGTCCAGAGGTAATGGCCAAGTTGCGACAAAAAGAACTTAAAAAATAAAATCAAGGCTAACAATGTTCACGGAAACCAGCAGTTAACCACCTTCCGTTGAAATCTGTCGATAACAAACGCTTTCTATCAGTTATGATCTTCATCTTGAGCTGATGCTCAAAGAATTCTACCGGATCATAATAGCGTTCATACGCAAGATTCCCTCCATCCGCGACGCCCATAGCACTATTCTTGTCACAACAGAAAAACCATCAGCTTCACCCGAGAGAACGCAAGCAAAACATTAGCGCACTCGTATGCGAGATAAATCTACATGAGCTTCTCGCGATCGATACTCGCCGGCATAGTCCCAGAACGGGCGCACCTGAGGAGAATGGTAGAAGGCGTGCGAAGCCGTTTCCTGTAATCTAAGGTCACACTGATTACAGTTGGGTAAATGCGCCCAGCCCGCTCTGAAATCTACGTAATTGAGATATAGCATATTCCAAATTAATCGCGAGGTAAGCAAAAACTCTAGGTTGTTGAGATAATCCGCCTCTGGTGTCCAAGACCAGAAAGAGCGCAACACTGATGTCAACAAGCCAAGCCGGCAACATAGAATATCTTTCGCGAACCCCTCAACTAATTCAAGATACAATCGTCTGCGAGACCCTAAAAGATCACTAGACCGAGGAATGACCCTAAAGGCCGTTCAATACTCTTGGAGGAATCTCGATATGGACAAGGGGCACATTCACATATACGGTACTTTTAACCAGCAAGAAAACACCTCTGGTCAGCTGGTTCCCGTATGCTGAATAGACGACAAAATCGCTGTACAATACACGAGCATCAACGTCAGAAAAAAAGTGTCTATACTGAATCACTGCTATATCTAAAGCGAAGAACAAGAGATCACGAAGCAAGCGTGCATCCTTACACCATTCTCTCAAGTTCTTTGCATTCAAGATGAACAGCGCGGTAGACATTTTAGAAGTTTATCCCTTTAAACAGAGACTGGAAGGAAAACTGCAGATGAAAGAATCCCGACGAATTTGTGCCAGGCTCCCGTTACCCATTTCCGACGTAATTCGTCCTTCCACGACAATCCCACCGACGTCCGTAGGATATTTTAATTTTAGTGCCGTATATAGTGGGATGGAGAATAATCAGCATCCTCCCTGCCATTTTCTTAAAAATCCGGAGACTCCACCTACGCCATCCGAATTTTCGGAAAAGTCTTTTTAAAGTCCCACAATTTAAAACTTCCGTGCAAATGTCTAATTAAGGTAGTTACTCCCGGGCACCCGGGAAAGATTGCAGGATACTCTGTTGATATCCTGGAGGTCAATTTAAATAGCGACCTCAACGGGGTCTTCGTCTCCCAAAAAAATTCCTTCCCCAGGGCCTGCCTCTCAAGATGACACATACCCTTACCCTTGCAGATGCCATTATTCTTTTGGGGGTGTACGTTTGGGGGAGGGGAGGAAAGGAGATTAAACCCTAAAATGGAGGCTTTTGGTCTTGCGCTAGGGGGAGGTTGGGTCTTGTCTTTAACCATGGGCCCTCCACCCTGCTTTCATTTTTTATTTTATTTTCCGCATAAATCTCGTCCTCCTCCATCCCCTTTTTCGAGGACTGAAGTGGAGGCATGTCCTTCACCTGTATATACAGGTCTAATTGCGCTATCTCCACATCCTCCGGATGATGTTGCTGTTCCAGCTGTTGCAGTTGCTGCTGTTCGAACTCCTAGTCCTCATCTTGAATAGGCTGATGTTGCTTCTAGTGTAGTTTCTGCTGCTGCTGTGCTATTTAAGCTGCTCATTCTACCCATACAGATGCCGCTGCTTGAGCTGCTTCGGCGGGCGCTGTGCTGCTTGAACTGTTTCGGTTGTCGCTGCTGTTGCTTGAACTGTTCCGTCTACCACTGCGGTTGCTTTCGCTGCCCCGGTTTTCGCTGCTTGAACTGTTGCTGGTGGTGCTTGAGCTGTTCCGGCTACGGCTGCAGCTGCTTGTGCTGCCCCGGCTGTCGCTGCTGTCCCTTGAGCTGTTTTGCCTACCACTGCGACTGCTTGAGTTGCTCCGGCTGTCGATGCTGTTACTGTTGTTTCTTGCAGCCTTCTCGTTTTGGACATGTTAGTCGTGGGGGCGGAGTTGCAGCCTTGACTTCCATCTTCATCACCTTAGTCCATTTACCGATACCATTGGAGGCCTTCATGCGTATTTCGTTCATGGGCAATGATTTTCTCCATTATCTCTGCACGATGATGTTTGAGGCTGCGGTACCGGCTGCGGTGCCGGCTTCTTTCCGGGACAGAAGAGATGGTCCGTGGCACCGCATAACTAGTAGTGGGGATAGCAGCCTTCAAAAACGGCCAAGTGATGTCGAAATGCAGACACTAAACAGACACTTGCCCAATAAAAAAAAACCGGATGTGGATGTTACCACATTTTTTTATTTCTTTCTTTTTCACTTCCGGTCCTACCTCACTCCTTCCGCTTGGTGATTTTACTTTATGGCGTGAGGTTACGTTATATAAACGGAGAAATATAGCGCTACAAAATAAAGATTTACCAAAACCACCTGATGACAGCCTGTGGTTGATAATTATGTCGTGTTAAGGGCGGATTTTTCAATTTTTAACAACATTATTATCCGCTCTACACATTCAATTTTGAGAATTTTGTATTAAGTACTTTCTTATATTATATGCTGTCTGGACAGACTCCGGCCCTGCCCTATACTTTTATATTTTTACACACACACACACACACACACACACGCGCGCACACACACACACACTTACACACTTTTCTGTACCGTGGCGATTGATTCTCTGATGGACGTTACCAAGAAAAACGCAAAGATTTTAATTACCCAAAGGTATTTGTAAACAGAAGTAAAAATACAATTGGGTTTTCCAAGATCTTGAATTTAAGAAGGTTCATGAATAATGTTCAGTCTCATTGTGTAAGTCAAAGTAAAATATGGAGGATGCTAAGTGATGTAATTTCGCGCCGAATAAACGAAATTCAACGCGAATATACAATTTTTACTAGGAAAACTGTATTTATATACAGAGAAAAATTAATTAACTAAACGATTTCTTATCTTTGAATTCATATTCAGTAGTATTTTAGTATTTACAAATTTCCACAAACTCATACACACATATATCTCTATCAAACTATCTATCTATCTATCTATCTATCTATCATATATATACATATATATATATATATATATATATATATATATATATATATGTATATATATATGTATATTTCTATCTACCTATCTACATGTATCTATCTATCTATCTATCTATCTATCTATCTATCTATATATATATATATATATATATATATATATATATATATATACATATATATACACTTATTCAGAAATTAGTTTATTCATGTTGAAAAAGTGAGATCGATATTTTTAGGAGATTGTTTATGGGTATTTTAGCACAGTGGTTTCTTTCTATAGATTAGGAGGACATTTTTAACTTGTCAGGAATGATGCGTTCCTCTATCCCGGAAGTAACCAAGCAGTTCACTAACTATATACGCACACAAACACACACAGAGACACACACACACACAAAGACCTATACCCCAGAAACAGACACACAATTCAAGAAATACATTTAAAATGAGATAGAATAAACCAGGGAGACTGATCCTGTAATCAAGTGAAACCTGGTCTAATAGCACAGATTCTGCACGTTTGAATGCACTGGAATCTCGTACAATTTCTGCCACGACATCATTTTCATTTGCCTCCAAAGCAGCAGAAGTCGGTAAAAGCAGAGGGAAAAACAAAAAAGATGAAGAATACAATAAAGCGTAAATATTGATCGACAAACAAAGACTTTCCCCAGCTGAAAACAGCATCGATTTTGAGTTTCAGGTAAGCGAATCTAGTAGCTCGCAGGTGTTTCCGTATTTTTTTTTTACTACTGTACAATAATCAACCAGTGTCCAAATTTCAAGCGTTTTTTTTTAATTTATTTATCTATGTGTCTATCTATCAATCTATCTGATAAATTTTCTCTCTCTTTCTCACTCTCTCTCTCTCTCTCTCTATATATATATATATATATATATATATATATATATATATATATACACATATATATATATATATATATATATATATATATATATATATATATATATATATATATTCCTTTATCTACCTTTCTGTTGTCAATCTATAAAATACGCATAGCAGAAGGAAGTTTTGAATTTTGTCTGTTTTAATATCACATACAGAGGAAGAGTTTAGTTAATCTTGTATATAGGGATGCTTTAAATAGCATCTTGGTCGAGGCAGTATGTTTTCAACAGCCACGTGTATAGGACTGTCAATTTCTTGACGCATCAGTTATGAATTATTTTAGAATAATTTCTATATCTTTACAAACAACTTTCATGACACTTTTTTTTCTTTTTATTAATCGCTTCCACCTCAAATAAGGCAATACAGCCACTAACACGCAAGGGGTTACAAGTTGTGGAGGAAGTAGCAACATAAACATTAGAAATGATTAAAGAGAGAAAAGAGCAATCAGAAGGACAGTAGATAGCGATTGACATAATATTTAAACTTTTGCATATTAAAGTTGGTGGTAAAGCATGGAGTCGGGAGGGAGTTCCATAAGCGGGAAGGGCGAGAAAAGCAACTGCTAGCATATAAGCTACAGCTACATATAGCCAGCTTAACACTAAAACGATAAGATCACGCAGACAGTCTAGTAATGCTCTTAGGTTCATAAAGTCGAAGTAATATATCGAAAAGCTCATTGAAACAATCATGAAATTATATATAAAATGGTACACAGTGGCAATCCTTACAGCGGTAGAAAGTGACTGAAGCCGAGTCGCCAGATCAGAACTATCAATATTGCTGATTCTTCTTTGCATCTTATCAATGAGCTATATGTAAATAGAAGGGGAACCTGGCCATCACCATCTTGCGGCCTCAGCCGAGATTGAACTCACTAATACTTTGATTTGTGTAGTTCATAATCTTGTCAAATAGCTGAATTCTTGATGCTTCGCTAGTGCTATCAAGGGTGTTTTTTTATCGTGACACCATCACTAAATGAATTGCCAACCAAGGCTCAGAGAGACTCCATTCACCCTCATCTAAGAGCAGGTTTGAATTCAGAGTTTTCCTTCTCCTAGACCAGTTGCCATTCAAGGCTATAGAACCCAGTCTGTCCTGCTATTTACCCATAGCTGGAGGGAGAAGAAAGAGGATTCACACCTTTTCCCAAGGGTATTAGCATATAAGTGAATGTAATGGATTCGACTGGAATTCGAACTCGACTCTCCGATTCCTCAATCAAAGCCGCTATCCATTACTCCACCGTACCTGCCCATATATAGCAGCAATATTCTAAGCATGGGCGAATGGTAGGCTTATAGATATGCAAGATAGATTCAGGAGAGAATTATCTCGCCAGACAGAGTGAACCGACTTTCTTAGCAGTTGACCTCGCCATGATTTCACTATAGTTTTTATTTTCATGCCAGCTGAGAATGGTCAGGACATCATCAACCTCCCAACTGAAAATTGCGTCAATGGGGATTCCTCTTGGAGAAAAGCTGGCATGGACGCTCTCATCCCTTCTCAGAAATACCACTCAAAGTTGCAAACCTCTCCATGGTTAACACCAGCATGCACGGCCGACATGGCACAGAGGAACCACTATTTCCGGCTATACCAGCGTGACAGCTCTATTCATAACAGGTTCCTATTTCCTACAGTCCAAGGGACGGCACTAAGAAAATCCTGGAATGAGGCCCAATTAGCGTGTTGGTAAAGGAAAGAGGTCTGATGGATACGGGGTTCATGCTCAATGGATATTTTGAATAGTGTGGTCAGAGTTACCAAGAAGGCATTATTGCAAAGCTCGGCAAGTGCGAGGAGAGGAGGTAAGAAATAGATCAAGTAGAAAAGCCTCTTGCTCAGTTTGGCTACGAAAACGAGTAGGGAAGTCCATGATTTAAGTAAAGTATTATGCAATAGAAAGATTTAATGCCTGTATACCGGCAACATAAGTACATTTAGAATGTTTTAGCCATGTGTCGTGTGTGAGCGTTAAAGTCACCGAAGACAAAGATGTCCGCAGATGGATGGAGAGAAAATGCCTATTCTATACTGTCAGCTAGTGCGTCTAATATACTGGAGACTTGAAAAGATGGGGACCGATAAATGAAAAAGTGATAACTGACAGAGTTTAATAGCGAAAGACGAAAGCACATGAAAGAGTCATCGGCGGCCTCGACAGAGAAATCCATGGCCATCTATCTATCTATCTATCTATCTATCTATCTAAAGAAAATACTGGGATACCTATAGTATGACATCCATTTCCATGCTAATATATATTATTATAGCCTTTTCATTATCCTTCTCTCAATATATATATATATATATATATATATATATATATATGTGTGTGTGTGTGTGTGTGTCTGTGTGTGTGTGTGTGTGCAGAATGAAAAAATAGGAAAGAACACGTTAGGAAAATAATCAGGAGTTCTTTAATATTTTTGTTTTTTTATTTTAAAAAAAACAGTGCTCCATACAGAAGTAGAGCTTAAATTATAATTATTTTAAAAAAATATGATTCCTTCGTTACTTAAGAGTTGTCATGTTTCAAAAACGAAAGCCGAAAACCTCAATATAATGTATATAGTTAATGATTTTAATAATTATGTTGAGGTTTTCGGCTTTTGTTTTTGAAACATGAGAAATCTTATGCAGTGAAGGAATCATATTTTTTTTAATAATTATATATATATATATATGTGTGTGTGTGTGTGTGTGCGTGTGTGTGTGTGCATGTGTGTGTGTGCATGTGCCAGGCTATTCTTACATAACTATGTCATTTTGTAAGTTCTTATTGATGTTTCCATCACTCTTTCCTTATTTATTCTATTCTAGTACTTTCATATATATATATATATATTAATATACATTATATTATGAATATATATTATCTATCTATCTATTTATATATCTATCTATCTATTTTTCTCTGTCTCTTTCTCTCTCTCTATATATATATATGGATACATATATATGAGCATGGGAGGGTCAATTTCCCTCAGTAAT